TATTTTTTCTAAGGATTTTTGTTCTAGTTTTCTACTCTTCGAATCTCGTTTTGCGTTCTGTTTGTTCAAACAAAAGCTCTGTAATGAATAATTGTTCTCAACGGCACACTCTCTGGAAAAAGAAGCATCCTATCTCGATGTGAGACGTCGCTTTGCGAATATTCGAGAGAGAGAGAGAATCTTCGGCTTGGCTGACTCATAGTTGACCCATAGTCAGCTGACTCGGCTGACCTATTAATTGGCCAGACAGCGATTTCTTCGTCGAAATAAATTCTTTTCTTTGATTCACCGCGCCGTGAAATCACGAACAAAAATTCTTATGTGTTTTGCAATGATTGATAAAAGTATATCACTTAATTACGAAAGAAAAATATCAGGTCTACCGGAAAGTTTTGTCCGTTTTTGGAATAAAACAAAATACAAAAATTTTTCTTACCGTCAATAAACTTGATTAAATAATATAATTGCCATTATTATTAATGATTTCTTGCCAGCGTGAGGGCAATTTGTATATCCCATTTTTGAAAAATTCAGAAAAATTTGCATTATGTTTTATTCCAAAAACAGACAGAACTTTCCGATAGACCTAATATTTAAAAAATTCTTGATTGTAAAAGGAGGCGTTTCTGAACAAATTGCAGGAAGTAATGCACAAAACTGGTTTTGAAGTAACAACCAAGATTACAACTGTGTAATATTTAGCGATGGTTGAATTCAAGAACACTGAGGATGACTATAAATAAATAGTTGAAACGTTTGTTCTTAATAGGAGATATATATTCATTGTGCACAACTTCCTGCAATTTGTTAAGAAACGCCTCCTTTCACAATCAAGAATTTTTTAATACAACTGAACCTGAGGATCACCTCTGTTACTTTATTAATAATATTAGGTTTACCGGAAAGTTCTGTCCGTTTTTGGAATAAAACAAAATACAAATTTTTCTTACCGTCAATAAACTTGATTAAATAATATAATTGCCATTTATTATTAATGATTTCTTGCCAGCGTGAGGGCAATTTGTATATCCCATTTTTGAAAAATGTTTTATCTAAGGTCGAAATCACCTGTTTCAAATGTTTTATCTAAGGTCGAAATCACCTGTTTCGAATTTTTCGAACCATCTTCTGCATGTCCTATCAGAAACTGTACCTTCGCCAAACACTTTCAATAAATTTCTACATGCTTCTGTAGCATTTCTTCCTTGTTGAAATTCGTACAAAATACAGTGGCGTAAACTGAACTTTATCAGTAGCCATCAGTACACTATCGCTTCGCACATAAGACTAACGCGAATCAACTTTGTTTTAGTTAATTTGCTACGTCAGTATATTGTACATTAAGTGATAAAAATAGAGAGGCACACACGCGCCAAATAAACATGTGCTTGCGTGTCGAAACTTGTTGTGATAGAAACGGACAGAACTTTCCGGTAGACCCGATACTTATACGTACGTTTATATATATATGTAACTAAATATAAAATTTATCGAATTTTCGAGATTTAATTTAATTTTTCAAAACAGATGACGCGTGACACGAGTCACGCAAGTGCTGGATAAAAATACGTTGCTTGTAAAAATTCTTTTGCCTTAGGACGAGCGCGTGTATAAAAATAAAGTGAAATAAAACTGTGCAACATAATCTCGCGCTATGGTTAGGTATACATCGAGTACCCCGTGTGTGTGTGTGAAGTACCGACCATAAATCGGGTCATCCAGAAGAATCCGCTGCCTTAACCAATAAAAATTCAAGTGCGCGCCGCCGGCGAAATTATTGACCGCTCGCGAAACACAAGAGAAACAAGAGTATCCATAAAATTTTCAGCCGCTTTTAATATACGGCGGAAATTCGGCAATAGGTCTGTTTTTCCGCCGAAATAAAATTGTTTTTCAAACGCGCGGGGCTTACGTGACAGGCGGTGTACTGACTATAACTAAAATAACACCTTTGTTTTACATAGCGAAATTTTTCTATTTCGGCGAAAAAAGCTCGCGTTCTCGGGTTCTCTCTCTCTCTCTCTCTCGCGTGATTTACATCTTGGCTCAGTTGTGACCAACTTTGCTCGTAATTATTCGTGAGATTTGACCGATCGATAACGTTCTCGAATATCGCAGTATCAAGAATCCGCGATTTCGGTATTTATCCCAGCACGCTCGTAAATCTTAACGAATTACGCAAATAACACACGGCGTCGATCCTATGTCGTGCGCGCGGCCATTATCGCCGTGAATTCGGGAAATGATAAGCTCTCCGCGGCCGTATTGTATAAATCACTTCAATTTGGCGTCGTCAATTAAAACGTTTCGGTCAAGTAGATAAGCAATGTCACTTCGGTATATTACACGGATCACGTCAACGATAGTTCAAGGATTTCTCTTGAAACGCGACTAACTAGACTCGTCGCACGTGATGATTCCGTTCAAGTAATATTGTGTAAGATCTCTCGAAGATCTATCACACTTCTGATATAATATTAAACTGTATGATGACACTGAGGGCAATTTTAAATAAAACTCGGCACTTCACTTTAATTACTGAATAATATATATATATATATAAGTATAAATTTATTAATTATGACACGTTACAATTAAACCCAAATAGGGGTAAACAGTACAGTTATTGGCCTCCCAACAGTAATTGACCATGTATTAAAGAAGTAATAAATATAAATAAATACTATTATTATATTCTAAATTATAAACATTTTAATATTAATTAAGTTCTTCTGCTCCGAATAAAAGTAATATTATAATATTTAAGAAGCTCAAAAACTTATTGTTACACGACAAACATTGGCCAACCGGTCAATCACTGTTTTTAAGGTTATGAAAACCATGTGACAGTCATTGGCCTCTTATTTTGAGTTATAGATACAAATGTAAGTAGGTTTATTAGTTTTTAATGTGTTATAAATAAAATATTCATTACTATATCTTCATAAGTCAAAACAAAAAATTTATTATGTTAACTGTTATGTAAACAGATACTAACAGAACTCATATGGCCAATAACTGTCTATTTTGACTATAAGGAAATATTTTATCAAATTTTGAATACTTTTTCAAATTTTCTAATAAATTTATTATTTTATTTGCAATTGTTATAGTTTGTTTGAGCTAGTAATACTGAAGATTTACTTTAAGTTATTAAAAATTTAATTTTATAATTCACTCTATATAGCGCAGGTTTCCTTAAGTGGCCAATCACTGTATCTCTTACCCCTATATCACTCTCGGCACGTTACACATATTCAAATCTTTGACCGATCTCGTCAACGGTTCCGAAAACGACTCTCTGTATCAGCAAGTATCTCCAAAGTCATGCGCGATACAATAACATGTGTTCCTAGAGATGGCGCGATACGACCTTTCTCAAGGGAATTACAATAATAAACAGATAAGGGCAGTTAGCTACAAGGCAACACACATATCAAGCCATTCGGCAAAGTCGAAATATTCAGACAGAATTATTTTTTAGGCGCTTACAATTGTCTTACGCGAGAAACGAAATAACATCGCGCGTTCGATTTTTCAAACTTTTTTTTTCTTTCATCCTATTTTTTTCTTAATAAATGTTGATTGTATGTAGCTAACATTAACGGTACGGTCGGTAAAGTGATTTCTCGTGCGGTAAAATGTTACAGTTTGTTTCTGTCCTGTTCCTTAAGCTAAGCGGAGAACAACCGCGGATCCTTAGAGCGAGCAAACGGCGAACAAAGCAGCAAAGTGTATTTCTCTTACGGGTCTCTGAAAGGGTTTCCATGGCGTTAATGTAAGCTCGGGGCCAGCCGTCATGTTACTTTTGTTTCCCGAGCTAAAGTAACCATGGTCACCCATGGACTACATATAGCGCAAAGCCGCAGCAAAGACCGCAGTAGAGATGACTCGCAAGTTTTCGCCAGCGAAGTACAACGGAATGCGCTCGGAAACGAGAGAACTTTGAGACAAGCGCCATTTTCTACATCGATATCGATAAATTGAGAGTAGCCCGATAAGCGAGAGCGCGTTACCCTTCGTCAAACGTGGAAAATTAATCCGTTGCGTGCGCGTTTAATCGCGCGCGTAGTAGTTAGCGCTATTTATTTTACAAATTACAAAGTTGCGAAACAGTTTTGCTGTGAATCTCTCTCGCATCAATTTAAGGGGAGGTTCTAGTCAAAAGGCCCGAAAATTAACGTAATTTCATGATTTTAACGTTAAAAAAACAATAATAAACAATTTTTTTTTTTAAACGCTTCCTGAAGGCTTTAATTTGAGCCGTCAAACATCGAAATCGGTTAAGTCGTTGAAGCGGAATCGTGTGCGGCGCGTAAAAAAAAGTTATTAAAAAAAAAAATAAATAAATAAATAAATAAATTATATAAGAGGAAATATCCTTTTGGCTATACACATTTTCAAGACCCTAAGAATAAAAATAAAGCAAGTGCGGCGCGCAAAAAAAAGTTACTAAAAAAAAAATAAAAAAAATAAATAAATAAATTATATAGGGAAATATCCTTTTGGTTACACATTTTCAAGACCCTAAAAATGAAAATAAAACAAAAAAAAAAAAAATTTTTGTTTTCAATTTTGACTAGAACCTCCCCTTAAAATTACACAAACTCACGTGTCAAACGTGTGTAAGTTTGGTGTTGTTTTCATCTGCGGAGAGTATTGAGTTGACTCAAACATTTTCGGAGAAACAGCGTTAGCGTTCGGATTTTTGTTTATTACGAACGCGCGCGCTGAGTTTGTTTTAAGTAATAGTGATTTAAGTAATTCCCCGCAGTACTTTAATCTTGCCCCGCAAAATTAGCGCGCCGCAAGAAACTCGCGGCATCGCCCGCTGCAAACGAGCTTCCTCGAGAAACATGCTGCAAGAATTGTAGCGGTCGGGGGCAGACGTGCTATTTAGCCGAGCAACCTGCCACAATTATTATTATAACTTACACACACAAATGTGCGCTACGTCTGGTAGTATATAAACTTAAATATATATACGTTGAAATTTACAGAAATCCCAACATTATCGACCATCACGGGAGGAACGACACCCTTTTGCCGGCCAGTAGGGAGAAGAGCCGGTTTCGCAGTTTGTCTTGGGAACAGTACGATCCGGTTCACCAAAAGTACTTGGAAATCGGTAAGTACCAATACGTCGCGATTAAACGTTTTCTATATTTTCAGACGGTTCGACTGGATCTCCCAATTAAAGATATCCCAATTTTTTAATATACGACAAACTCAAATATATAAATAACTGCAAAATGCACTTTTTTTATATCGGAGTCGTGTGCCACATATGCAAACCGGTTGATCTCGAGAGAAACCACTCGCCGTTCGATTAGTCTTCACTTGACCGTGCGCGCGTGAAGAAAGTGCACGCCGGCTGCCGAGTTAGCTCGAATTAGAACAGGTCAGGTCCCGGGCGGAGCTTTCATCGTTTCGTACGTGAGAAAAGAAAGGACAGGAGATGAAGTGTCGCGCCAGGAACACGGCTTGCCACTCGTGTGTAGCTGTCCGAGCTACGGGAAAGAGCCGACTGGAGACTTTCCGCGAGGTCATTTTTATTGTGAGGGCTGCGCTCGAGCACGTTGTAGATGACGCGAAATGAGTCTCTTTGACTTGAAAAAAAAAAAAAAAAAAAAAAAAATTTCGCGCTGACTTATTCCGCAAACTGACCGATATTAATACGCGCGCGCGCGCGCGTATAACATTGAAAACGAGCTAATTACTTTTACTACCCCAGAGTGTCATTTTTGACGACCGACAAAAATGCCAAAGACAAAACCAACGATATCGATAAGGATCTATACTGTTGCAGATCGGTTTTGTAAACTATTATTTTGTAAACTTTTATTTATTATTAGAGAATAATATAAAAACAATATACATAGTTTTTAGTTTCTGAAATGTATCCGCTAAAACAATGAAATGTGCTACATGTGGCAACACGGATAAAAAACAGTTAAAAATAAACTTCCAATACAGAGAGAGAGAGAGAGAGAGAGAGAGAGAGAGAGGGAGAGAGAGAAAGATAAAAATCTGAACTTGGAAAAAATTTTATCTAGATCACGCTTCAGTAAAAGAGACACGGCGAGAAGCTAGTCGCTATTTTTCACCAGAAAAGTCTGGTCAAAAATCGCGTTGAACCAATATCCTGCATTCCACATTGTCCGATATTCGAGACGACTCGAGTCGACTTGTGAGTCGATTCTCCCAGATGCTCGCGTGTGATCAGAGAAAAATGTGCCGTGTGAAAATGGAGCAAAAAAGAGCGGCTTCTTTCGTGATTAATTCTTTTTTGTACTTTCGTCTTTCTTATCTGATCCCGTGTAAAAGCCTCCCCGTCTAAAAGCTCGAGAAAACAAGATCTTTACTGAAAGGACTGATACATATCTGATATCTAGCTATATATATACATACATATATATATATATGTAGGCGGTAAATATTTAGAAAAGGTCATCCCCCTTCGATTTTAATGAGCTTGACATATGTTGTCAAGGACACCTTCTTGAGTAACAATCAAAAGGTTTTAGCAGTCGCTAAAACATATATATATTGTATATATACTGTATATATACTGTATATATATTGTATATATATACAGTATATATTGTATATATACACATTGTATATATATTGTATATATACAACGTATATACATTGTATATATATTGTATATGTATATATATACAATATATATATATTGTATATATATACAATATATATATATATATATTGTTTTTTACTCTCTCTTCTAAAATGTAAACAATTAAAATTTGAAAAAATTTATGTTCTCACCTAACATTATCCCGCAATCTAATGAATTTTCTTTCTTATTAAAAAACATCCGACATGTGTATGTCTGTGTTAAACACACTGTGTTAACAATTTTTACAAAAATTTCACTTGCAATGTTTTCCTTTCGCACGCTTTATTTCAATACTATACAAAACAATGATGTGCCGAGTATTATCGGCAAGTCTGTTCCGAATTTTACGCGGCGCGGAGAAATTCAATAAACTTTTATTCCTTCGATTCGGTTTAATCTTCGATTTCCGGCAACTCGAGGGAGATGAAATGGGTGGGGGAGGAGGCTTCCACCGAAACGAAAACAGCAATCGTCGGTTCGAGTGGTTGTTGTTTTACGTCTCGGCGTTCCGCTTTTGTTCGCCTATCCGCTCTCACCGCAGCGTTCGCTATCTACTTCGCAATAGTTTTTGCTCGTCTCAAACCTTTGCCTTTGCACTCACCCTTCCCCCCCTCCCCTTTCTGTAGCTACTCCCCTAATTCTCATATAAACGTGCTTTGTTTTAGCATCGATTAACTTTCTCACGCCGGGTTAAAACATTACTCTTGGTTTTGTTTATAATTACTTTTATACATTCAAAAAAAACTCAATCGTTAAATTTATCATCAACTGGGAGGCTGGAAATCTCTTTCCGTATTTTTTACCCTCAAATATCAACTTGAACCAGAACCTTTGGTACGTAATTGTGATTTTAAAGAGAATGCGCGTCTTTTGGATGGAAATCTTTGTCTATAAATATACATTTTGTGTGTGTAAAAGTGTAGCGCGAAAAGCTACGGGTAACAGGTTGGCGGCGACATGAAATAGCGAGCTTAAATAGATTACGCAAAGATTACAAGGCAAGGGCCTGGCTTCTGGCGTGTGAGTTACGAGGCGACGCGCGTTCCGAGTACTCAATCACCTTTGTGGCCTCAATATCGACTGCGCAACGCTAAATCGAACGTAAATTTCTTTTGCATACGACACAAAGAATAGATTTACAAAGCTTTGTATAAGTAGTTTATGACGCACGCGTCTCAAACTACTTTTGTTTTTTTTTTAATTTAATTTAATTTAAAACTGACTCGTAAGTCGTTTTGTCTTCGTCGTATTAATTGGAGTTAACAATCTTTTTTAACGGAAAATTTCGGAAGAACAATTTCTTTCGGAATTGGCTTTTCTTTGGACGGTTTCTCCTCTCTTTTGGGAGAAATCTTTCCTCCTTGGGATTAAAGGCAGAATGAAACCCGGAAAGGCAGCAGTGGGCTGTCTCGGGACTATCACCGGGGGTATAAAGCGCTAAACGGCAGCAAGTTTCGTCCGTCGAACTTCCGAAGCCTCGCGACTTTGCTCTTACCAAGATTAGCCGGAAGTCTCTCACGGCGGAAGTTGGCAATTTATTACAAAATATTAAGAACGACATCGTCAAACTGGAGAGAGAGGGCGCACTTTCTTCCCCTTTGACCGTCTCGCGTGCAATAAGTATCTTGAATATTAACTTCGATCATATATGTTCACGTTCACTCAACTTGCCGTGTGACGTTGACGTATTGGAATTTATTATCGGAAAATTTGCAAATTGAATTTGTCAAATCGAATTTTCGATATATATATACGTAACAACGACTAACTCTATTTAAACACTGAGAAAAAAATACTATTAACTCAACTAAATGCGTTTAGTTGAGTTTCAGTTTGTTATCTGAAATATCTTGTTTTTTTAATTCAAGCATATGGTAATAAAGATAACAAATTCGTATAAGTTGAATTAACAATAGTGATAATGAACATATTTAATTCACTGAAACCATGAATTGTTTTGTCGAACATAAGTTATGATAATTTCAAATAAAAGATACCGTTAAAAAAGATGAAATAGGCAATTCTCATTTACTTTAATTGAATGTAATCTGAATTTCTTTGTACTAAGTATTTTATCTAATCAAACTGCTTATTTTTATAGGCAGACAAAATATTGTGTTGTACATTCAAAGTTACCTGTATTTAAGCAAATTATTATTTTGTTAAGGGGCACAACTAGTGTGACTGCCCCCAAAAAAGGTGATTTTGGGGAATTTATTAAAAGAAAAGTATGGCATCGAATGTTCGGAACTTTTGAGGATATATTTGTGTATAAATGATCTATGAGCAGCAATTTTTTTGTATGAAAATAGTCAATTTTCAGCGACTTATGCGCCATTTCCCAAGTCTCCAAAAAAAAAAGTTCTCCCACTGCTGCAGTGATTGCGGTCTTCAGAGTGCCTGAAATCAAAAAACAAAAAATGTCCGTTTTTAATATATACAATGCCGACAGAGCCCGAATAATAACGGAGGTACAGCCCCTCAGCTTACGCACGTTTCTGACCGACGAGCAGCTGCTCTTTAAAAGGCTGTCGTTCACAAACTAGTTGAGATCCACCCTTGAAATTTTAGTATGTTATTCTTGGAACTATAGACTATCGAAAAGTGCAAAAAAAAATCGATTTTCTAAAAGTTTCACACTAGTTGTGCCCCTTAAAACAACTAAATTGTGTCTTTCGGTATAACCTAATTATTATATCTATTGAAACATGATATCTTCTTACATTAATCAATATTTTTATTGACAGCCCGTGACCGCTGCATATAATTGAATCAAATACTATTTTGTTACTTCAACAACTTTTTTTCTCAGTGTACGTGCCATCAAAAGCGCTAAGAAAAAAACATAAATCGTAGTCGGCAGTGGTCTCAAAACATCTGTTTTTTTAAACAATTTCAATTAATTCTAAAACACAAATCTAGAACCGGCGTTAACGTAAATAATCTTGTTCTCTTACCGGGAGAAGTAACAAGTTTTCTCTCTCTACGCACACGTATAGTTATTATCCTTACAGGAGCCATAACTTTGCATTCTTCTTTTGCTGGTTATTATACCGGCATTAAACTTACGGTCTCGGCAGACTTGAGTCATGCGTTTTAATTAAAAAGAGATACTCCGCCGCGTTCCATTACCGCGTTCGCCCAATCTTATCTCTCTCTCATATACTACTCACATGTATTTTATTCCTCAAGTCGGTCGCGAATTCATGTCGGGGGCGAAAAGCGGGGGCGTATGTGCGTGCGAAAGCTACGAGAGAGGAGGGAAAAGTTTCCGTAAGCGTCAATCTAATCGGCACTGTAAACCATACCCGGCGCGAACTTCACCGGATCTTTCCCGACTTTCTTATGCGCGCTCGCGCGGACGACAATGTTCGTTCTCTTGTAAAAGTTTCAGTGCCTTCCTGGCGCACCGCCATCGGCACCCGGGAGGAGAGGGATACACCTTCGTGCCGCGCGCGTATCCGTGTAAAGATTTCCACAGGAAT